TCCGTTCATAACAAAAAGAGGCAGGTTGAAAATCCGGTACTAAATGAACCTACGGAAATAGCGGTATTGGGGCAAGTGGCAATGGATAGTACGCTGAGTGCAATGCAATTGGCTACTGCGACAGGAGTGAGTCGTACAAGTGTCCAACGGATATTAAAAATATACAAATTCCATTCTTATAAGATTCGGCTAGTGCAAGAGCTAAATGAAGACGATTTTGATCGTCGTTTGCAATTTTGCGAAATAATGACTGAACGAGCGATAAACGATAATTTCCTCTTTAATGTGTGTTTTTCGGACGAGTGTACGTTCTTCTTGAATGGTTTAGTGTTTAGTGAATCGCCATAATTGTCGTTACTGGGCGATAGTCAGTTATTGTACTCATCATTTAAAGTAGACCTGTGTAATTATTTCCGGGTTATCAAGGTTTGACACATGCCGAACCTCTACCAACTGGACTAAATGAAAAATGTGAAAAAATCAACAAAGAAAATGTAGAATTAACAAGGCTTACAACGTGTCCCAAAAGTATGGAAACAGCACAATAACTTTCGAAAAATGCATTTTGAGGAAAAATGATTCAGACAAAAGAGTTAGGATTTTTCCCTGGCTATTCAATGGTGACCCTTGATTTGACCTTGACCTTGACCTTGACATTCAAGGTTATTTCAAGTTCAAGTTAATATTTTTAAATGGGATACCCTACTTTTGACCCCGGAAATGAAAAGAGCGGAAAATTTTACGTTCAGATATGTCCTTGACCATTTTCCAAGATGGCGGATCCAAGATGGAGGACACGGTTCCAAAAAATTAACCGATTTACGCCAAATTTGGTATAGAGGGTTTTTTGAGGTCGCTGACTACGAATATGAAATCTGTTTTTGAGGAATTTTAGTCCAAGATGGCGGGCGCGGTTCCAAAAAATTAACCGATTTACGCCAAATTTGGTATAGGGGGGGGGGGGGGGTTTGGGGTCGTTGACTACGAATCTGAAATCTGTTTTTGAGGAATTTTAATCCAAGATGGCGGACGCGATTTCAAAAATCAACCGATTTTTGCCAAAATTGATATAGTGCGGTTTTTGAATGTGAAGTTCACGGTCAAATCAAGGGTCACCGTCAGATAGCCAGGAAAAAATCCTACAACGTTAGTTATGGTCATTTTTTTGCAACCCGTTGTTTTCAAGACAGCGCGCCAACCCATGCGTGACCTTGATTTAACCTTTAATGACCATCAGAGGTCAAATTCGGAGTTAAAGAACTTGTATTTACTTCCATTTTTTCACACTTATGTGATAAAAATTGCATAATATAAAATGTAGCATAGCATAGCAAAATTGCATAGCATAAAATGTAGTGAATATTTTAAATACAAATATCTCTGGATTTCCACAAGTTATGACAATCATCAGTAAAACAATTTAAACTGTTACCTTTTTTAAAGAATTTTTGTTCCAATGGTAGATAAAAATAAGTTTTTTACAGGAAAGATGCTATTGTGGCGCCTTCTTTAAGACAGCTTAAAATTGATATTGTATTAAAATTTGACACTCTCAAAAACTGGCTGATGCCAAATTTAAAATTGGTATCTCAAATACTGCAAAATTTATTTGAAATTTTTGTAAAAATTACTTTAACTCCCCGTATCTCTCTTATTATCAACTTTTGAATTAAAGTGTTATTGTCTAAAATCCATTCTTTCTCTATGAACCATTACTTATGATCCACCCTGTGCAATATTATTAATTATAGTAAGTAAGTAAGTTTCTTCAAAGCAGAATTCAACAAAGCAAAAAAAAAACAATTTTAAAATGTAAGTTTAATAAAATATTAAATGAATTTGGACAATACACCTAAGTTATACAATAACTTGTGCTGTGTTATTGTCCAATTACAAAGGAAAAATAAAGAAACAAAACAATACTGTACATGAATATAGAAAAATAAATATTTATATAAAGCAATGTATTTTCACAGACAAAATAGCTATCGCCACAGACCGCTCCTGGAATAGGCCAGCAGTTTTAAATTTCCGAATTGCCGGTAGAGTACACCACCAGCAGAATTTTAGGAAGAATCAAATACAGCGGCCCGCATACCTAAGCGTATCCTAGCAACATATATACAAGACTTTGGTAATGTTGCCAGGCGTACTTACGGATTTCTTTTGTACACTTTTTTATCAATATCTGTTTTTTGCGTTACTGTATTTACTTCAATGTATGATGTAGGTATTGATAAAAATGTATTTAAAGAATTAACGAATATCTATGTATGTATCATATGATATTCTGCAGTGGTGTTACAATTAAGTTATTTAATCATAATTTCGTTAATTAGCTACCTACTATTTTCATTTTTTGGTATTGAAATACTGCAGAAAATATATTTCCAAATAAACAAAATTCGTAATAATATTTTAAACAGCTTGTAATATAATTTTTTTAATATTTGATGATGACGATAAATTTATTTAATATACAACGTGGGTTATTAGTATGTCGCGGAATGTAGGTACAGGTTTTATTTGTATTTTGACATCCACTTATAGGTTTAATAATTAAAGATAGAAATAAACTTTAAATACAAATGTACGACTTTTCCTTTATTTCATTTGACATCAAAATTTACTGGCATAAAATATATATGTTTAAAATAAAAATAATCAACATAAACAAATTTTCCCTTGGTTCTGAGACTCGGTGGGTGACGCAGAGCGGGGTGTCACAATATATGAAAGAAAAAAAAAACAGGATTTGCTGAGACTCTTAAGTATCCAAAAATCTCCCATGGTGAACAAATAAATGTCATGTAAAAAAAAATAATCGGGACCAACGGTGTGTGACGTCATAGGATAAAAAAGTG